AACAATAATATACAATGCAAATAAATAAATGTACAAATGATTAAATTAATGTATAAATATAATGAATATAATAAAATAATAATATAATAAATATAATTGTATAAATGTATATTTTTATTTTTTTATTCTGATAAGAAAGCTCACTGAAATTAAAAAATTTTAAATATCATCATTTGAAAAACTTTCACATAATTTTTTTAACCTATCATCTTTACCTAAATTATTACGAAAAGCTCCTGCTCTATAATTTAAAATTTTGATTGATGCACTTGAGTTGCTCATCTGTAGAGCTTCAATAAAAAGCAAACACGTTCCATATGGAAGGTGGAAATAACGGAGGTGTTCTGCCGTTCTGGTAAGAATGTACTTTAATTCTACGTTTTTTTATTTCTATAACGACCATTAACATAAGTTGTATCAAAGTACGTAAGAATCCTAATGTATAGCAGAACAACATCCACTTACCAGCTTTTTTTTTCACTGAAATGGCTTATCGTCAATTTTTAAATTTTGTAATTGTTTCATGTTGTCTTCAGTACTGACGTAGTTATAATTAATCTTTATTATATTTATGAAATTTGACTTTCCAGAAGATATTTTTTTTTTTGTAGATAAAAGTAGACGAACTTATAAGGAATTTTCAAATCTATAAATTAAAAAGAAAAATATTTATGCATTTCGAACTCAAAATAGTTTGTGATTTTTATGTATTTTGTAATAATTTAAAATTTAGACGCTCATAAAAAATAATTGTGGATTTACATTCGACTTTTTTTAAATTTCTTCTAACATAAATTACGAGAAACCTTGTATTTCATCTTCAAGTTTTTTGACTTTTTTCGGTCGACATTAATTTAAAAAAAAATAATTATAATAGATAATTGTAAGTATATACCTATAAATAGCTTAACATGAATCAAAATATTTTGAAAATTTCATAGTGTATAGAAAATGCTAATATAAACATTCTGTTATAATTTTATATATTCACGGTTATTTTTTTTAGAGTTATACCAAAAAACAAATTCGATTTTTCGTAAAAATTCTCGTTTCCATAGCTTTTGAAAACTTCTGGGAATTTAAAATTTTGACCTCAAGAACGCACCAACTAAATTCATTTTCCTATGGGAAAAGATACTAAAGTAGGCAATCGAAGCATTATTCCGACAACTTACAACTCGTGTACACAGGTCACACTGTCACAGACCCACAAAAAATAAACATACATCATTGTTTATATAGAAATTAACGCATTTATTATTGCTCCGCTCAGAATAAACAAATGATTAATGAAAATGAATAAAGGTACCTACAGTATAATAACATGACAAAAGACTTATCACACAGTTATCGATATTGATAGTAAATATTTGACAAGCAATTAAAACATATTCTGGGAAAATAATTTTTGTATACAATTTTGAGTACCTACTATAGGTAAATATAGATACCTATTTTATGAATTTAGGTATCTGTAAATGTAGGTACTTAGATACTAAAATACTTTTGAATAGAAGTACCTATATGGCTAGATTGCCCATATCCGTCATCTTAGTAATTATACAGCTGAGTGTGCATGAAAATAAAAAATACAATAATTGTATTGACAAACAATTCGTGCCATTCGAATTTCGAACTGATGAATACATATTTCATCAATAAATGTTACCGGTAAAAAAAACTTCTTGTTTTTTTAACGACCACGGTTGTAACCACGATGATTATGTAACAGTATTGTTTCACTCCATAGTCCTTGGAGGTATTAGTTTACCTCCACGGCTCCCCGCCATATTGGACGCTCACCGATGTACATACATCGTTATCAACAAATAAGCATTTATTAAATTTTAATAGTCCCAGAGATAACCTTCAATATTTGATTCTTGTTATCTTGAAGCCTTAAGGTTGATTTTCTGCGATTGATTTCAAACAGAAAATTTTTTTTTTTGCTAACGCCCATAAGCGCTTCGACTTTTTTCAACTTTAATTCTAAAAAATTACACCATGTTTGGTTCTAAAGCCGTACAAGCGTTGAGGCAGTTCTCAACTACTGCAGTCAGAAGAGGACACGCATATGAAGGTCCCGGACATGTAAGTTGAAAAAAAACGTGACTTCTACAAATTTTAGGGTTATCTTTAAATATTCTGGACGTTCATGATTTTTTTAAAATATACCTACTTGCAATGTTATATTAAATGTTTCGGTTTGCTCTGCGACGGAATAGCAAACGTTTAATTAAAAACCCGTACGATATTGAAATGGAACACTCCTGCTTTCAATGTAGCCATTTAAGTTATGTTAAGTTGTGTATTAAAATGGCTTTAACTCTTAAAAGATTCGGTTGCCCAAATATATTGCATCTTTAGGCCAGGCATTCACTAAAGTGGTGCGAAACGGGTGGGCTGGTAATTGCACTGGGTTGTGACAGTTTTAATTTTCACTACATTGGTGGGTGCCCGTCTTTAGATATAAATGGTGTCAAATTCTAATGCATAATGAATGTAGGTACATAAGATTTTATCTGAACTTAATTGATTTTAAAGTGGGATAACTAATTATTCTTGTGTACCAATTATAATTTGATTTACTGATGATGTCTTAATAGTGTTAGGTATTCGACAAATATAATTATTGTGGCTTTTTTTTTACATGTTTTTGATATTAATATATCAGCATTACCCAGAAAAAGCACTTTCGTAATTGAACGTATTTTAAAATGATTATGACATCTACTTTCATAGCACTCTGTTCGATTTTAAACTAATGCTATAAGTCTCGAGCCTTGCTTATTAACAAAAACATTTAAGAGGAAAAATATCGAGTAGTGTGCTATGGTTCTATTTTAATATCAAGATGCAATATTGAAAAATATAAATCATTAAACCAAGTAGTTGTCAGTAGTAAATTATAGTAGAAAAATTATAAAATCAACTGAATCTATTTTTATACAAAATAAATATTCATGGCGTATAAGGTTCAAAAGAGCTGTCCTAATCTGACTTTCATAGGACATAGGTTATATTTACAATATAAAAGTTGTACTTTTTGGAAAGTTATGATTTTATCATCTAAATTTCTGATAAGGATTTCGTTTATAATTTTATATATTTTGTTATGTTTGTTGTATACAAGATTTTCAAGGGTGAAATTTGTGTGTATCAATATATTTTGTTCGTTCATAATCAATCGTTTAAGAAGTTACATAATATGTGATACAACTGCGATATATATATTACATTCAGACCTTGAAATGAGTTGGTACATAACTACTACATATAGAAATTTATACAAATATCAACAATTTTTTGGAAATATTGATAGCATGTAGTAATAATATAAGGTATGATGTCATAAATTGAAATAAATTTCATAATAATTGTAATTATAATTGTCTGGTTTTCCAGTGCCCAGTAAGCCTGTTTTGATATAGGCAAATTTATTGAAAACAAAATGTATTGTATTATTTTAATACTAATTCAAAGTAAACTTTATAAGTCATGTTCAGATGTTTAGCAACCTAGAATTTTGTTAAAATCAGACATAAAACTCACACCAATATACTTAACACCTAGACAATTAATTGTAATTGTTGTAGTTGTTTGTTTTTCTGTGATTGTTATACTTTTATTAAGGGGATGCCACACCTGCATATATTGTCTCCGTCTTACAAATATACAAAATAGCAAAAATTGTTTTACGCAGGATAAAACTACTCAGGCTGTAGTCCAAGCTACTGTACTGTGCAACATCGTTTTTTTATTTTTTCAATATTACAAATACAAAAAGAAGTTCTTATTGTTTAAAAATTCTTGGAAAACAGTTTTTAGTATGTTGTACATCTGTAAGATGGAGATAGTATATGCGCTTGTGTGGTTAAATAGTTATAATAAGGTAATATTAGTTTAATAGTTATATGAGATCAAGTTTCAATACAATCTAAATAGTTCAATTTAAAATCACTGTTGATGATTATATTAAGATTAAAAAAAAAATATTGTTTGATGTCTAAGATTTATTTTTATGCAACAAAAAGAACAGCTGTGTAAAGGTAATGATTTAATAGCAGAAAATTAAAAAATATCAACAATATTCTCATAACCCTGATCCATGATCTGACAAAATATAACAAACTACTTTGATAGTAGAAAACGAATACTATTATTAATTATTATTTATTCACTTTGTATATTACACAAAAAAGGTATAAATTTGTTTTAGGAAGTAAATTAAACAATTATTTTAAAATTTGAGTTGATTTGTGAGTTAATATATTTTATTAGTTTTTCGATTCATACCCACTTCGTCAAATCCCAATTTGCCAACAAATGTACCAATTTTAAAATATTTTTAATATTATTTTATTTATATAGTTTCAATTTTCTCCGTTCACCGATAGGTAACAATAATTTTATTGAAAACGGGTATAACAGTGATAATATTATGGTATGTTGTCGATATAAGTTCAGAGGTACTATTTTTAAAAGGGTACTATAGGTAAATTGAGATTACCTATACAACACATATTATTAAAAAAAACTTGAAATAAACAAAAATTAGTTTGAACACACAAATTGAACGTAATATTTGTAAAATTGCAAACAAATGCAAAATGAAAATTACACTTTCTAGATTGTTGTATCATAAAACAAATTTAATTTTTAGTTAGAACCGTATAGTACTTAAAGAAAAAAAATGCAAGTCACCAAAATCCTAACTCTACTCATAACTCACTTAAGAATTACATAAACAAATTAATGAACACACAGATAATATTCTTATATTTAAGTTTGATAATAGGTAAATTCACTCTAATATTAAAGCTAACAATACTAAATTGGAATTGCTCGATGCATATTTTTATATATTATTCATACATTTTCCCTTAAAATTTAAATCTATTTAGGATCTATATAGTATTTGTTAACTAATCATTACATCTAAGATAATATTTGTGTTTCAGAATTTGCCATTTGATGTGTTCAGCAAGTACAAGTTTACTTTTTATACTGCAGTTTTCTTTAGCACTGGTTTTGGTCTTCCGTTTTTAATGGTTAGATACGTTAGGAAGAGGAGTGGATAAAATGTTGTCATCAATTATTCATGGTAATGAAATACTAATCTGTTATATTTTTTAGAAATATTATTTTTAATAATTAATTTTTTGTTTTTTAGTTTAAATGAAAACGCAATCATTCCATAGAACATTTAATTACTTATGATTATTATGAAACAATTTTTTTAAAACCTAGTACAATGGTTTATTTATATTTTTCTGTTAAATTCAATAAATGAACTTCAAAATTATATATATTGTTTATTGATTCAATGTTGTGTTATAACACAAATAGTAGAGTTATAAAATATTTTAAGGAAGTTAACACAAGTGTAATTCAAAAGTATTTTTAGAAGAATTTGATATTTTAACCTTTTAGAGTGTCTTACAATCATAATGTTTGGCTGTTCGGTGTTTGGTTAATTCCCACATGAAACATACCAGGTTATTAGTTACATAATATGTAAGTTTCTACATAAACAAAAATATGGCTACAAGTAAGTTACCTTATAATTTAAGAAAATTGACATGTGTGTATACATCAACTAATAAATTTTAAGTCAAATCATTTTTGGTTTTAAAATATTCCATAAATCTAGGGTTTTTAATTGATTATTTGTATAGTTAAATCCTCAAATAACTTCTATATCCACCTCCTTAGTTTTTACTCATCCTATTATATTTTTTCTTACCTGTACTGATTTAATTATTTATAAATGCAATATAACATAGATGGCCTAGTATTTTCTCTTACTAGTCAACATGAAAAAACACCTTTTTGTTATTTATTGCAATTAAACAATTTAGAAAGTGTTGTTATTGTTCTATTATTATCTATTTTAGTAAAATAAATGAGACAGTAATATAAAAAGACATGTTACATTTATGGATGTATATATATATTGGGGAAATTTCATTGGAAACATACATATAAAAATAATAAGCATTGATAGGTAGCATACATGAATACTGACTAGTGTGCTGCTTTCAATCAATAAAAAAAAAAAATTACTCAATGATTTTTACAATTGATAATATTAACATTGAATACAGCAGATACATATTTTTAGAATCCTGATTTGCATCGTTTAGAGCTAATGGACCTAATTCCCCGATATCCATACATTGTCCTTTTTTCATTTGTCTCTCATTACCAAAACTATCTTTTGGTACTATACACAAATTTGATGAATCCTAAAACAGAAAAAATAATTTATTTATTTTATGTTAAAATAGACTTAACAGCTAACCATTATGTTATAAATTATTCCTTACTTTAATAAAAGACGCTTTAATAGTCTGAGATCGTAAATTATAAGGAACTAATCTAGAAGAACTCCTTTCTTCTAATTTATTACCACCAGTAAATATTACAAAATCAGCAATGTCTTCTTTGTTTTGAAGTACAAACCAATCAATTTTTATGTAACTACTTCCAGTCCTGAAATCACATTAAATGTTAATCAATTTAATAAATGATTACATTTAAGTATTTAATACTTCTTGTTGCCCTAATATATATTTTTTAACAATTTTAAATCTTCATTACATTTTTAATCCAAAAAGACTACATTTGTTTTTAATAAATTTAATATGTTATACAAGTCAATAAATTATTCAAAACTGTTGTATATGAATAAATAATTTTCAAACATTTAGAATAATATATTTAATTTATTTTGCTTATTTCAATTTCTTAAAAACTTACCAGCAATTACAAATTATTTGATTCGTAATTCATACAGATAATATATTCTATGATATGCATGTCATATTATAATTATTAAATATTTTGAAAATTATGTTAAATTAAGGGTATTTTTGTGAAGTATGAATGCTTTGGTTTTCCATTGGTTCATACTACATTGTTATTATTTGGTAAGTACTGGTTCTTTATTTATTTATTTTTTTTTTTTGGTTTGATTCATATTTTCGTAGTTTTTGTAATATTTAATGATTAATAAAGCATCGTTTTATTTGTTGATTAGTTATAACAAAACTGTTATTTAATTTGTTCGGATAAATATTAATTATTGGGTGTACCATAAATGTAAATAATTATAAATTTAATATTTATAGTAAAATTTATAATAATATATTTGTGCTAAATTATTTACTTTTTTCAATTTTTAAGTTACTAAGTTATAAGCGAGGTTCAAAGTATAGTTTCAAATTATTTTATCCATAAATAAAACATGAAAACCTGTGCCAAGAACCATATGTTTTATTTATAGAAGCAACTGATTACTAGTGTTGAAGTTTTGTTATAACTTATAAGCGCCTTCATTAATAATAAATAATTTACCTTTTTATCTGCCTAAACTTAACATCAGGTGTTACGACAAATGTATCATCCTCATCATCTATAGGAATATCACAAATCAATTCACTTTCACCTAAATCTGACACATAAGATACTTCCGATGTTAATAACTGCACACATGTTATATTTTCCCATTGTGGATCTGGATTAAGTTTAGAATTAAGCATCCTTTTGATGGGAATTAATGTACAATCACATTCAATGGGATTGCCTGAAGATTCATATAATTTATTAATTATTTAATTATCATATATAGTAGGTGCATGATAACTGGTATGATATATTGATTGATATTAGGTAGAACTAGGTATAATACCTTTAAATGATATTTTAGATCCTTTGTTTACAATTTTAGCCAATTCAGGAGGAAAATTATTAAACAGGTTATTCTCTACATTGAAATCTTTTAATTTTGGGACAAAGCTTATAATTTCTTTTGAAAGTTTTGTCAATTTATTATTGGATATCAACAGTATGGACATATTTTTAGGCATATTGCCAACTTTTTTCATTGTTTCCAAATTATTGAATGATAAATCTAATACATTTAATGAAGTTAAGTTTCCGAGCACACCTAAAATGAATACATTATGTTAATAATTAATATATATATATATAGGTAGATATGTACATTATAGTTACAATACCTATTGAGTTATAGAAGTTATACATAATATATGTGTAAAAAATATTAATCTTATTGTTAAAGAGATTATATTTTATAAAATGTATATTATGTTACCTGGCCGAATCTCATCGATAGAATTATGACTTAAGTTAAGATATTTAACTTTCTGCGTTCCAACCGTAATGTCATGTGTTATTATTGGTATTTCATTATAGCTCATATCAATTGATTCTAAGTAACTGGGAGTGTACATATGGTTTGGAAATGATTTTTTGGTGAAAAATGAAAATTGATTATGACTTAAATTCAACTGTAAATATTTGAATTTATCAAGCATTACTCCTGTAAGTGAGTTGTTGAAATAAAATCATATTAATTAGGTACTTACATATTTAAGAGAAAGACAGTCATCCAATAAACTATTAGTTTTGTTGTCCAAAGAATTTAGTTGATTATGCGACACATCCAAAGTTGTTAATGACACCAAACCTACATTTTATATAAAATAACAATAGGTAAACATTAGTATACAGTATAAAGATTAAAGGTACTAATTGGTCTTATTTTAACCAAAATATCAGTGGCCCTCCGGGAATGCACCAGTGCATTATAGGTACTATAGTCCGACCCTGAGTATTCTAAATGAAAAAATATCTTGATATTTAATTGGACAATTATTAATTAAGGATTAGATACATTTTGTAATTTTTAAAAAAGTTTTGGGCTATTTATCTGTAGGTAGGCTTTCGAAATTTTTGATTTTTTTTTTCAAATTTAGACGATTAAAAAGGACCTATATTTAAACAATAAATAACAATTTTCGTTATTTTGCTGCAATTCAAAAATATCATTCATGGTATCTTAAAAGTTTGAAGCACCTACCTAGTACCTATATATTATTTTATTTTAAACAAAACCTACATTTACATTTTAAAATACTATGTATTCGCAAAAACAATTATTCAGCCTACTACTAAGGTAGGCATTATACAATTAGTAAAATTAATTTCTATAATACCTACCTAATTAATAGCACCTAATATATGCATACGAATATATGATAATGAATAATAATTACCTAATATGCTCAAGCTAACAGACCATCTTCGCTCATAGATAATCATTTTTCGAATGTAATGATTTATCATTAAATTAAAATTAAACACATATGTACTAGGTATACGTTTCTACACTTAACCTACAGACACACAAGGACTTACTCAATTGTGGGGTACCTATACTCGACTCTTCGTGTACAACGGAACGCTTACCTACTTTCCCCCTTTTTAAATTTAATTTCTTTTTGTATCCAAATTAAATACCTATCTATAAATTATAATTGATTATTTAGTTTTCCCATTGAATAACAAATTATTTTATAAATAATAAACCTACTGACCTTTAAATGCGCCATTGGGTATTTCGGTTAAACTATTTTCAGTCAAATTCAATAATTGCAATTGTAATAGCCCATCAAAAGCTTGAGATTCGACTTGAGTGATATTATTTTGTGACAGATCCAGATAAAACACTACGGGCAATATTCCAAACGCCTTGGAACTGAGATATGTAATACTGTTACCCTAAAAAAGGTTATGTAAAATACATTTATAGATATTATGTGTTAGCCGTTAGGTAGGTTGTAGGTATACCTACTACATTTTAGTAGGTATAGGTACTTAATCATAATAGAGCGTTTAATATAGTATTACTCTTAATGACAGATGTCTTGTTGAAACTAGTGGGCTCACTGCTTCAGCTGGTGGTATTGTAATAGAATTATAATCCAAAATTAAGCTTTGCAAAGATAATAGTTTTGAAAACGATGCACTGTTCAAACTATCGCCTAATAAGTTGTAACTTAAATCCAGCGAGAGGAGTGCGTTCATTGATGGCCAAGCTCGGTCGGGTCCAATATCTTTGATCTTATTATGACTTACAGCCAGACTTGACAGCGATATCGGTATGGTCGGTATTTGGGTGATATTGTTATGCCTTAAATCTAAGTGACTCAACGATGACATTTTAACAAACGTCGCAGCATTAATTTTTTTTATGGAATTCTTATCCAAATACAGTTCGAGTACGGTTGGTAGAGTGCCAAATGTCGTAGACTTCAAGTCTTCCAACGCATTGTGGCTGAGGTTTATGGACCGCAAACTGAGAAGCGACTGAAACACAGAGGGGCTTATAGATTTTATACGGTTGTAGCTGAAATCCAATGTATGTAGCTCGTAGAGCTTTGGGAATGTTCCTTTTGGTATCGACTTAATGTTGTTGTGTGTCACGTTCAAGATTTTGA